TGTTTTTGTTTTGTTTTGTGAAGCTTGATCACGACAGTTCCATTTTACAATTATACGTCACTACATGGTTATCAAAAAGATCGAATCAAAAATATTAAATTTAGTAGGTAAATAATTATTTATTGATAACTAATTTGGTTTTAATAAAAACTGAAATTTGCTATATATACATTTCAATATTTGGCTTCAATAGTTTCTAACATATGACTTTTCTTATTCGTCATCATACTTACGAAATAAATTTCTTCACCACGTTTTATTTTCGTCTGTCTATTTTGGTAATATATATATGGGAAAGTAGGCATGCACGTCAAATTTGTATTTCTACCGTGAACCAATTATTTTAATTTTATATCCATTTATTTTGTATAGAGGATAGAAAAATAAGATGAATAATATACTGTTTGATAGTACAAAGAATATTTCTATAATGATTTGATTTTTTTTTTTTTCTGAGATGAGAAAATAAATGGAGTGATTGTAATTACTAATTAGTAACCGAAAACATCCATTATATGATTGAGATAATAAGGCCATGAGAACCTCAATTAATGTGTGGGCCTCGTTATTTTTCCGGAAAATAATAATTTGTGAAATTTGTAGTACAAGTGGAAACAAAAGATAAAGATTCTAATAAAGAATCTTTTTTTCTCTAATAAAGAATCTAATTGTAGTGGAAGTGGGAGAAAGCTGGAATCTGTACCATAATTTCTAGAAACTTAAGAAAGTGACTAATCGCCAAATCACATGTGAGTTTCGGAAACTCGACAGCCTCCCAAGTTCACCGTTGATTTGCATTGACTCTTGCTTACAAGTCACAAGTCACAACCTCTGTGTGATTATTCATTATTTTGATTCAATTTGCATTAGAATTTTTTGTTAGTTAAGGTAATTGAGTAGTATGGGAAGATTTCTTAAAGTTTTGGTTATTTAACAAAATCTGATTGAAACTTTGCCAATTAAAAACTGATACAAAATATGATTATTTGATGCTCATCAATAATGTGTGTCGTTGGTTCCCAAATATGATATTCATTAAAAATTGATTTCTCATATGGTATTCATAGAAGGCGGATGATATTTATTTTATTCACTAAAACAAATTGAATGAGTGATGACCTAACTCTTTATCTCTCTCAGAGATTATATTTCTGATAAATACATTTTTTTTTTAAAATATTCATTTAACAAAAAATTAAACCATCCATTCAAGCGGAGATTTGAATTACAAGATCTATATTTAGAGAAATTATACTTTTTTTTTTTAATAACCGCGGAGTGTCCGGATTTTTACCATCCGACCAATTTCCATGATAACTGTAGCCGTCGAATAGTGCATTTACCAGATTTTCTAAAGACCTAAAAAATGATACTATTTCGACTAACTAAATGGAGGTAAAAAAGTGTTCCGAGAAAAAAATTATACTAATTATTATAAACCGGGTGTTCATGTTTGTAAAATATAGTTTATTTTGTTCCATTAATTCCTTATTTTTTATCTTTGCCGCCTGCTTTATCTATGACTATGACTTTATATACAAGAATATCGTGGTACAAAAAAAAAACAGTTTAACAAAGAATAATTATGGTTTTGTAGCTGAATATCAACTATTGAATTTATCGAATTCGGAAGAAAATTGATGTAGCATTATGGGAAATTGTTAGTTCACATTCCACCATGTCTTAATCCGATGAATTTTCTACTAAGAATGATTCAATATTGAAATTAAATACGATTTCCACTCATAATTTATAGTGGGGAGATATAAAGAGAAGACCAAAGGGAGTATCCTATG